ATGCAAGCTATTGCAACGAAAGCAAGTTATATCAAAATGTTCAGAACTGCCAATTCGGAAAATTGGCGATTAGTAAGAAAGGTTAAAGATCACAGGAGCTTCCTCGCTAAAATATCCTGTGATTATTCGGTAACCCAGGGCTGAAACAATTTCCCCTAGGCCCTACACGCGCCGTATACCTTTCGTAATGAGACTCAGAAATTCAGACTTTCAAAGAGAGCTAGAAAAATGCGAAAATTTTATCCTAAAAACTATGTGGAGCGCAAATTCGTCTGCTTCTTTTGCAGGGGTTGTGGTGACGTCAGAACGCCGAGATCTGAGTGGCTCCGATTGAAGGATAGTGGGTAGACCTAAAAGCAAGCTGCCTTGAGGCCTACCCACTATTTTTTATTCAGAACCAATCAGAGCTCGGCGTTCTGACGTCACCACAACCCCTACTAAAGAAGCAGACGAACTTGCGCTGCGCATATCCTAAAATCGTTGATTAGTATATTTGGGAGTTGTGTGAATATTTATACAAAGTGTAGTTGGTCAACCATTTTAAAGTTGCGACGAGTCACTCGCTGTAGATGAACAATTTAGCTAATGCAGTATAACCGCTAGCCTGGGGTCTATAGGTCTTTAACGTGCACCACGCAGTAGTGATACATAACCGCAGGCCGGTACGATGCTCATCCAGATCGAAACGGACATGGGTGAGGATTGAACCCAGGTTCCCTGGTTGATTAGTACAAAACGTAAATATCGCAGGAGCTTCCTCGCTAAAAGTTTGTGATCTTGCGGTTACCTGGGGCAAAAACAAATTCCCCAAGGGCCAACATGCAACGCATAGATTTCGCATCAATTCTCAGATACTCCAACGTTCAAATAAAGCTAAGAGAATGCGGAAATTGCATGCCGAATGTCTTATCGATCCTCAAACATATCCAGAAACCCGAGCACCGCTAAGGCAATATTACTGATGCTGTCGCACAGGTGCTAATATCCAGAGCGATCTTGCACTGAAAGGGTATAAAGTATCATTCTTTCAGATCTTCACGTTATACTTGAGAGCACGAAGAAGCCCTAAATCGTCGGCAAGCTGCGGCACATCACGACTCCGCGCACCGAACAAACTCGCAACCAACAGCTCTGGGCGCTGCCATCTTACCGATGACATCATGGCTCTTAAGAGGTCACGTGACGAGTCGTCACTCGGTTGCTCAGGAAACCGAGCCAGCTCAGCTCGTTGCTATGGCACCGCGTGTGACCAATCGCGGTGAGTGGCGGCACAGGGAAAAGCGTGGCGCTACTCTGGCAGCTACGCTGCCATATCGAGTGGCTCTAGGTGCACCCAGTCGTGTTGCAACGGAAATGTCATCGTAACGCGGTTGTTTGCACCAAAATTAATGGCGGCGCCCACTCACTAGGCTTCCCATTGGTCAAGAAATGCTCGTTGCGGCTCGTGGCCACGCCTACTTCCGTTACACTTCGCTCCATGCATTGGGGATAGGGACGCCACCTCCTGCCCATTATAACCGTGCTTGCTGCAGTGGGACAGCACGTGCACGGCGATTTCGCTGTTGTTGTTTTTCCTTTGGTGGTAAAAGAAAAGGAACCGCCATGACACTGTCCTTGAGGTATAAATTCCGCAAAAGCAACAACGGGGAAGATGCCGAAACTGACATGTGCGATCACTGTCAAATATTGGCAGACATCAAACACATTATCTGGGATTGTCCCAAAAGTGACATCAAGCGGAAACTAGCTTTGAATGCTCTACCGCCACAAGAAAGACCATCCTGCCGGAAGGAATTGGTCCTTCCATGCAGACAGCATTCCCGAGCACAGAAAAAGCAATTTTAGACTCGCTGATAGAGTGCAGCAAGTCTGCCGGACTCTATATTTACATTTAGCCCCAATCCCTCCTTTCCCTCCCCGAGCCAATGACAAGTTACAAGGGCAACAGGTATCCCACCTGAAAATAAAACATTTTGTCACTCACTCTAGCAAACGGTCGAGCAGACGATCCTGTGTCATGAACTTCGAGCGATTGATTGATTGGGTACGACCTCATCGCTTTCTATTCGACATGCGTGACGCTGGTTTCAAAGACACACAGTTAAATAATAATCACCTCCGAAAGAGCTCTGTGTCTCGGTCCCTCAGCCTGGGAACTAGGTTCGCCGGATACCCGTCGGTATCTTGGTGGCAAAAGATTTCGCGCACCCAAAAGGCTCTTCTGGCCGTCAAGCTCTGCACGCACATCTGCCCTAATTGCGTACCTAACAGCATTTGTCGCTTTTCTATTTTAGCGTCCCACAGGCATAGAGTAATATACACAAGGGAAAGAGCGGAAGGTTGGGCCGGTTCACGGCCCAGATACCGCTCCAATCCCGTCCGCGAAGTGGCGCTACTACGAAAAGTAGTCTGAAAGATTACTGTTTAAAAAATACTTCCGCTAAAAAGTGTAGTGCTTTAATTATATTTAAAGAATTTGAAACTGTCATATATGTTGACTCGGTTCCCCGTCAGGCAGCTTGGAACGTGGTGCATGCAACGTGAGAGAAGAAAAAGCCATAATTAAAAAAATAGCGCAAGGACTGACATGACTGACCATCATGTCAGATCAATGCCCCCTGTACTAAGATGCTATAATGGCAATTTAACATTTGCCGTACTATAATGGCGGCAATGAAAATGGAGTATGCCGTATTTTATCGGGCACCGTCACTTTGTCAAGTCAACGGCAAACAACAGTGAGCGCTTCACAGTACATTTACTTCTCAATCTCTTTCAGTGACGACAGAAACCAAGATGCAACCAGTCAGAACGAAGCGTCAACCCACGTACACGGCTTGATAAAGTTCTACAAGTCAAGGGTCTTTGGAGCACCTTGGTGCTACCAACAGAGTGGCTGGCCCGAGCTAGAAATGAACGCTTATGCAAATCTTGCTTTCAATTCCGGCTTCGCATCGTGCTAACGTCACAAGTGTATAAGGCTCGAATTATCTGCTAAAGAGCATCTTCGACTTCTTCGTTCATCAGTAAACAGAAGGCCGCAATTAGTACGGCACATATGCCATTTTTCCGATGATGATGGTGATCAAAGTGGCCAGACTGAATTTCGGAAAGGGTCTCTCGAGTTGCTATTGGCGACGTGCGCGACCGAAAGCGTCGCTGTGGTCGGCCTTCCACGATCGGCCCAAAAGCTGACTATGACTTCAGAAAGGGTATACCATCGACGGAAATAAGAGGAATAAAAGAACTTTAATTTCGACGGTGTTGGCAGTGTTGCTTTGAGAGCGCAATGATTTCAGGCTTCCACCATGCTATTTACAAACACCATCGAACTTGTTGTTCGCAAGGTAATGACGTCACAAGGGGGAACCATAGGAGGGCGCCACCGAAACATCTCGCCGATAATTTCCGAAGGTCGTTTTGAGCGACGATTAGGGCTACGCACGTGCACTTTTCACTGGACTACCACAGAAGAACGTTGCCGCCAAGTTGGAATAATTTTATTATAAATTTTTTGTGCTCTAAAAACTTTGTTTTTTTCACGGGAGTTGTTTACCCGTCAGATAGGACAATATGTCGTTATAAAAGAAGAACGGGGAGCTGTAATGTATGTCATGTTATGAACATATTTTGGTTTACTTGCCGCAATACAACAAAGAAAAAAGACGACACTCTATTTTGTATCGCTACTTCTATGCAACGTTCCTATTTTGCGCTCGACGTTCATCTCCTGTTGTGGCTGAAGTAAGAACTTCCAAATGGAAGCAGAAGCGGAGGTAGCTATCGTTGAACGCGATGACGACCACCGGAATGGGAAGACGTTTTACTTCGGCGTTGGGGCCATTCTCTTTGTCTCGGCCACCTTCTGTGCAGCGGCTTTCCTGCCCAGACTTTGGCCCCGGAACCTCTACGAAATGACGGAAGTGGTATGTGCCAGCAAATCTTGTCAATCTGTTTCCAAGCTCATCAACAGCTCTATCAACGGCCATCTCGATCCCTGCGATGATTTCTACACCTACGTCTGCGACGGGTGGCGAAGGTCTCACTCATTGAAGTCATCCGAGTCACAACGGAGCGTCTTTAGCGAAGTGAACGACAGAGTGCAATCTCAATTGCACGAGTCCTTGTTGCAGATATCGGGAAGGACCACTAACAATACTCGTATTAGGAAATTGGCGCTTTTCTACCAAGCCTGCACGAAATCACTTACGCCCGAAGGTAACGGAGTTGTTTCGATAAAAAAATTTCTTCGACGCGTCGGTATGGCGTGGCCAGACGAAGATGTCCGAAAGAACGCCACAGATTTATTGGAACTTTTAGTTACCTTGTCTATGACGTGGAACGTGAATGTGTTGTTCTCGTACTCCATCAAGTCGTTGAGCACGGGAAAAGGAGTCATCACGTTGGGCATGCCTTCTTCCTTGGTTCCAAGTCAGCACAGTGAGGCCAAGATGAGTCTTTACGAAAAGCTGATTGTCAGTCTGGCCTTTCTGTTAGGTAGGAAGAACGATTACAGCGATTTCTCAAGGAGACTCATCTCAATCGAACGAGACGTTGCCAGGTTTCGCAACGAGAGCAAAGTCTCAACCGCATTTAATTTGAGGGACTTGGGAAACCTGTGCGCCGATTTTCCCTGGCAGAGATGGATGCTGGCGCTCAACAAAAACCTTCCTGCTAGGATAGCCCTGACGCCACAGAAGTCAATCATAGTGCATCACCCGTCTTATATTGGTAGGCTCTTGACGTACTTCTTGAACCACGACTCGCCTGAAAACATTAATGCGTATCTTGCGCTCCATGTGCTGCTGAAGTACGGCCAAGCCACATACGACATCCGTCATGTACAGGAAATAGTGATTTATACGGGTAAGGACGTCCCCGCAAGGGATATCATGAATACCTGCCAGCAGTGGATGAGCACGTTGATGCTCGACGCATGGAACACGTTTGTCTCTCAGGCACTGACCAGACCTGAAGAGATTGAGAGATTATCTCAACTCGTAACTAATGTCAAGCGCGTGTTTGTCGATCGAATCCGTAGACTGTCATGGATGGACGCTCGCACCAGGAACATTTCGATTCAAAAAGCGAGCAACATTGCACTAAGCATTCCTAGAGTAGCGGACCATACATCGTCGTCGAACAAGTCATCCGTGACCTTACCAGACCTGCAAGGAGACTTTCTGGACATGGTTTGCACGATCGTGGACGCCGTCAGGAACGACGAAGACCTCTTCATCGGCCAAGTGATTGACAGGAGTGATTCGGTAACGGTGCACTCTAATGTTAACGCAGTTTATACCTATAGTCTAAACGTGGTGAACATAAACGCGGCACTTTTGGTACTACCTTTCTACATGGACGATCTCCCGGTGCCACTGAACTACGGTGGTATCGGAACTATTGTAGCGCACGAGATAATACACGGATTCGACGCTAGTGGACGCCTCTACGACGATATCGGGGAATTCGAGGACTGGTGGAGCAACGAAACGAGTTCCACCTACAGAGAAATCTCGGCTTGTTTCCAGGAACAGATGCAGGCACTGTCCCCACGATCCGGCTCCGTCACACTCGAAGAAAACCTTGCGGACAATGGAGGAGTCCGCTGTGCATTCGATGCCTACGTGTTTGCGGCTAGTCAAGACCGTAGGATAGTACAACTCAAAGGACTCGACAGCTTCGAAGAGGACCAGCTGTTTTTTCTGAATTACTGCTACAAATTCTGCGGGGTCAACCGTGATGTACGTCCTGGGAAGCGCGGAGGAGAGTCATCCTATCCCGTGGGGCGACTGCGCTGTAATGTGCCCTTGATGAACCTTCCGGAATTTTCGAACGCCTTTGACTGCGAGCCGGGAGCCGCGATGAATCCGTCTGAAAGATGTTCCGCCTGGTAGAATCGAAGAGTGTGGTGCTTGGCGCGGAAAATTAATCATGGGCCAACAAATCATAAGGCTGAGGCGAACCTCAAAACTCGGTGCTTTAACGATTTTTTCTAATTTTATCTTATGTGTAATTAAACGATAGAAACATATTTAAAATTAATGCCTTGTGGTTGATCGAAACATAAAGTTATAACTCACCGTGGATACAAATAAATCTAAGATGTACTTACGGCATAAACCATAGAGTTATTATAATGTACGCCAGAGGTTCAAGTGGCGCTAGTGTGCCGATGCAAATTGAAGCAGAACGCGCAACCAGTCCAAAATTAACTTCCGGTAATGCATTTCTATGGGAAGAAACGCGTGCATTTTCTGCCTGCGCTCGGTCATAAAAGCAAATATCCCGAATAATTCGTACGTGCAAGGTAGCTTGGAACAGTTCTCAGTCAGGCCGACGCAATAATTGGTCAGTTACGGTGTTTTTCTTTCAAATTCATCGCATTACAAACGGTGCTCAAGCGGCTTCGTACGTGCATTTGTGTGCACTGTCGGACACTGTTAGCGCGAATACCACGTCGGCACTTTTTAGCATGGGGAATATACGTGCCAAACGAACGAAGGACATCTGGAAATTAGGGACTGCAAGAACTGCGCAGTAACTCTGGTTCAGCCACTATACCCGTGCATGTACGATCAATATAAATTGATATTCCGATTTTCAATAAGTAAGTACCGCTTTATTCTTTCTGCTCTGTTCGAAGCTGCTTTTTCTAAGTTCAAAATATCACCCGCACGCTCGAAATGTTTGAGAACAAGTGCCCGATAAAAGCTGCCCTGTAAAGAAAACAATACAAAGAGACACCTTTCACAGCCCACATACTTTATTCTTTACGTTTTGAATGTTTTTATCCGCTCATGCACATCTGGGTTATTTTTAATAGTTACAGGACTGGCATATTATCAATATGTAAGCGTCACCGGAATGGTGGCGAGCCTTGAACACACTCTATATTCCTTTCGATTGTAATTTTGCTTTGAATTGTCGCTTCTTGTTACACACCTGCTGCGGAACACACGTTTCGGACTGAAATGTAGCGAAGTTAAACATCGTTCACTGACGAAGAAAAATGCGATAACTAAGGCAATTACACTTTCACAATGTTAAGTAGGTATTCGGTACAGCCGAAATAATCAAGGTGTTATTTTCCGGCGAAGAGACAAAATGCACGCGCGTTTTCCCATAGGAATGCCCAGGTGCCCCGCAAAAGTAGACTGGTTGCTGTCTGCTTCAATTTGCGTCACGGAAGTCGCATAGACAATAGGGAATTTTGTAGATCGCTTTCGCCGTCCAGCAAAGCTCTCCGCAACACGCTACGCTACCCGGAACTTTACAGTCAAGGCCATGGGCGCGCAGGCGCATTAGCGGCTTCTTAGTTGCGGAGGGCTTAGCGGAGTGGGAAACGCGGTCTACGAAAACTCCCTAATAGCGCCAGTTGAACCTCTAGCGTACATTATAATAACTTTATGGTATACACATGTTGAGCATGTTTACAATAGAGACAAAATGCTTCTACAAATACTTTTCTTTTTATGGGGTCAATTTACGTTCTGAAAGTTTCAGCATGCGACTCGAGGGTGGATTGTGAGCCATAGGATGAGCGTTAATAAACATTTTATGGCGTGAATTTCGCCAGTGACGTTCTTGATAAAATAGTAAATGGGATCAAACACCGTTTTATGATGAGCTCATTTAGCATTCCGCCATCAGAATCCCATTCGTGTCAGTCATTCACACTAATAGATGACACGATGAATGCTTACGGAAGCAGTCTCACCAACCACGATATAGCTTCGCCCCATAACTGGAAACTCCTCCGAAAACCCAGAGGAGTGGCGGCGAACGTGACAGCGGCGCCTCTAGCGGACTACGAGTTAACGGAAGCAGACGACGCAATGGAAAAGTATAAGCCCCGCGACGTCCTCGAGCTTTGCGAGCCCCGTTTTGTAACCCCAACAGTTAAAACAATTGATTATGGTCAGTCCGCTTGCAAAGCGGAATCCACTGATCGCAACTGCAATAACAATTAAATAACAACGCGCACCTAAACAAAGATAGAGCAGTTTATTTAGCAGTCTCAAACGCCTCGCAGGGGATCACACGCGCGTGAAGCGCGTCTGGGAAGCGGAAAAAAGGCGTTTAGCTACTTGAACTACGTCGCAAGTGGTTACTGTTGATCTGTTACAAACTGAGATGTTACAGCCGCTGCAGCACAAAAACAAAACAAAAAGCGACGATAAAAATAATCATGCAAACACTTTCCGAACTTTGCAGGAAAGATGGGGTCGCCTCCCAGACGAAAATAAAAATAAATGGGGCACAGTCGCGAACAACGGCGAATAATGCAAAGTATGGCGCACCGTGCATTCACGAGGGCGCCCATCAAGCCACTCTGCCAGTTTGGCCGCGAGGCAGCTATGCAGTTGCCTAGCCTCAGACACGATCACATAATCGTGTCGCCGCGGGGTCGATCGGGATCTCGAATTCGGCTCCCGACGTGCCGCGTTCTCTTTTAGCCACTGGGTGGCGATGGGCGGGGAGGCAAAACTTCCTCGCCCATCGATCGGGATATACTCGGTAGACAGGGGGCGAAGAACTTCGGAGACTGATATCCCTCACGGCTCACTGCCGTCCGTGTGAATTACACTGTAGTGTGAATGATACAGTCGAGGACGGAGTTTCGCTGGTTGTTGACGTCACGACATCGTCTGGATGCCCCGCTCCGCCTTCAGCGCGAGTTTTCTGCCCTTGCTAAGACAAGTGTGAACTCGCAGACACGCGCAACCAAAACAGTGCGGAAGCCAGCGAGGTCGCGCTGAAGGCGGAGCTTCTAGTCTGAGCTTTCTTTTTAGAGCGCAGCTCTTAGGCGCCCGTTAGCGGCTTGAGCGGCGTCGGCGTTGCCGTCGCTGTCGGCGTAACCCTAAATCTAATCCCCGTTAAATCTAATAACCAAAATAATCCCCGCTAAATCTAATAATCAAAATAATCCCCGCTAAATCTAACGGAAAAATCTCCCCGCTAAATCTAGCTGAAATATTTTCCCGCTAAATCTAGCGGAAAAAATTTCCCTGCTAAATCTAGCGAAAAAATTCATCTAGCGGATAAATTTTCCCGCTGTATTTAGAGGAAAAAATTTCCCCGCTTAATCTAGCGGGGAAATTTCCCCGCTAAATCTAGCAGGGAAATTTCGGTAACGTGGGGGGGTCACGTGACCTGGGGGTCACGTGACTTCTCGACCTAGGTCCGGTGACATAAGGGAAAAGGCCACGTGACCCCCTCCCGAGGTCACGTGACCTCGGAGGGGGGTCACGTGACCTTTTCCCTTATGTCACGGGACCTCCCCCCCCGACGTCACGTGACCCCCCCCCCCCCCGAGAACACGTGACCCTCAGTATCCTTCCCTCCTCCTCCTCAAGAGCTGCGCTCCAAATCGGTGTTACAGGGAGTTAGTTGTAAACGGCTTCACTTTTTCCTCCCTATTCAGGTATAGGCGTAGAGGCAATGCCTAACGGAGTATTCACAGGTGGGATGATTTTCGAGGAGGAATGTGCGTGACGTCTCAGTGATCGGCGGAACCAGCGGGAAGGAACTTCTTCAACGACTCCAGCAATCACGCGAAAAGGGAAGGGGGGGGGGGGGACTGAGAGGGATATCGTTTTATCAGACGCATAAGGGGGTCGCTCTCAGTGGTCGCACTCTCGACAACAGGGCTCGATGCTCGCTGACGAGAGTAGAAAAATAGAGGCGTACTTGCATCTGTCACAGGGTACTATAGAATACGGGGTAGTGTTGGGACCACCGTGGTTGGGACCGAAGCGTGAGGCGTGTGGTATTAGCGGCAAGATGTTTTGGTGGCGCCCTCGTTCGGTTACCTTTTGTGCCGTCATTATCTTTTGAACAAGAAGCTCGATGGTGTTTGTTATGAGCATTCTGGAAGCCTGAAATCATAGCGCTCTCAAAGCAACACTGCCAACACCGTCAAAATTGAAGTTCTTACATTCCTCTTATTTTCGTCGATGATAAATCCCCTTTCCGACGTCATAGTCAGCGTTCGGCCAATTGTCGTGGGCAGGTCGTGGGCCGACCACATTTACACTGTTGATCGTTCACGTCGCCAATAAATCGGTATAGGTGTCTCTACCGGCGCATCGGTAGTAATCGGTAGTAGGGTCAGTATGGTGGTGGTTGTGCGCGTGCGCCGCGTGCACGCCCACGTGCGGCGGCACTTGAGGACTGCAGCGACTTTCTGCTGCCCCGTCGACTGCAGCGCTACGATTGTTGTCTACACGCGCAGTCTCACAAGTACCATTGTCGAGTCGCGCCGGTCTAAACACTTGCCTGTGTTCTAGTACACTGTAAAACGGCGATACGCGGGTATGGCAGCAGCGCTGTTAGATGCAGAAGACGACGAACTGCTTTGCTAAAAAAGAGGATGCTTCTTCAACGGGTGCATGCAACACAAAGGGCGTGGAATCAATAACCAGTTGTATGAGGAGCTGCTCGAGGAGGGCATTGATGAATATCAAAACTAATTTGGGTGCCTCGGATAATACGCGGAACAGCGCGCCACAACAAATTAGGCGATCACGATGCCACTGCCGACATATCACTGATCAAAGTCTATTAAGTTCGCAGACACGCAAACAAAATACCGTTAATAGCAAACAGACCCCTCGCCAGGGCGGGGTGCGTTTGTGCAGCCCGAGCTATGATGGCTATAGACGTTTTCTGTTTCCTGTCGTTCCTAGCCACGTGGGTTTCGTATCTGGTATGCGGGACAAAAAAATAACAAAGTATTTTAACCTGTAACATGCGAGAAAATATAGGTGAAGCAAAACAAGAATGTGCAACAATCATTCATTTTTTCATAAACACCTTCAAGTGACATGGAGATATCAAAAGGACGTTTTATTGCATACCAGAAGTGGTGACATTCAAGATGGCTGCGCCCTTG